GATGATAGACGTCACTCTATAGATTTTCAGTATTCCAGGGTACGCTCAAAAGGGACAGCTTTACATATCCGATATATTTACGCGAACAGCGAGTGTCGCATATGTTCATTTTGAGAGGAGGAAGAAAGAGATCGACATTGATTTGTGTGCTGTAGCATAGCTTCATTGATCCATTATTAATCGTAATTAAACGCGATTAAACGATGTACATATATTTTATTCGAGATTTTGAAAATATATATATATACATGTAATAATCTTGCGTTTATTATGTCTTGTGTCGATTGTATCGTGAGTTAGTGTGAATGAGTGATTAACATTAACCAGACGCTAACACCGCTCGCTAACTAAATTTTTAATAAGAGTTCGGCACTTTATTCCGTTGCGAAGGAGGTATACTGCAAACTCGGAAGATAGTCGGAAAATACACATTTGCAGCGGTGGTTTTAATTTAATTATTTATGACTGAATATAATTATACAATTGATTTATTTAGGTTGACACAAGACGTGTCTAAATAATTAAAATATTTCATAATCAAAGCGATTTTGATTTTGAATACCAGTCACAATTTTTTGTCTGATATTATTAAAATATATAGATTTTATATAATCGTATAAATATAAAGCTTTCAATCTTATTCTCTATAATTAAACATTGTAAAGTAAAAATTTTTATAATATTTATTTTGACAATTTCTTAATTTTTATATTTAAAGGATTTATTTGGAAAAAACCAGATTTGCTAAATGCTCATAGATTTTTCGTTATTTATTATTTTTATGTTAATATCTATTTATTTATATTTCAGATGAATATCCAAAAATTTGCTTTTTACAAAATTGTCATACCGGGATTAATTTTTCAATTAAATTGTTATAAATGATATCTGTTTGATTAATAATCGCAATAAGTAACCCTTGATTTCTTTCAAGAAAATATACTAATGAATGTACATATGTGTTTTTATGTACAATAAGTACATTTAAGAAACGGAAAAAGTCAGATACAAAAATCCTCAAGAAGGATAGTGCGATTATAATACATTGAGCGCACGAAATTACATTATGAAAGAACGTGGACATGAACAGATTTATCAGAGGATTAGGCAGACGTGTCGGCACGTGTAGTATTCGTTAGGCTTAGGTGTATAGGTGTGTAGGATTTATAAGTATAGGTAGTCTATCTGTGCCCCGCCCTTTTATCTGGAGAACGTGTTTTTGTTTCCAACACATCACTAATTATCGAAGACTTAGCAATACAGCACTGATAATCGTGTCTCTATCAGCAGCCGCGCTAATCGAGCTAAAATCTGATTTCGTTCATAAATGCAAATATCCTCGTTCCCTCGCCTTCCCATCGATTAATGGAAAAGACGTACTGTGCAACCAGCGTATAACGATTACTAGTCACCCCGACATCGCGACACGACGTCGGAAAAATTAAAATTGACCGACCGACCTACCGACCGATCAACCGACCAACCGAACGAAATACATGTAAAAAGAGCAAAACAAAAAGCAAAAGCAAACTATTGCCAGCCCTATCACACAAGTGTATTGATGCGAGTGTTATGTTCTGTTCTATTACGTGGTGTAGGCCATATTCGCCAGTTGTATCCCTGAGATAATTGACCTGATCGGGACGCGAAACAAGTACGGCGGCACTTTGAAGAACGAGCGAGGTCGCAGGTGAGAGACACAACCAACCAATTAGCTTTCCCGATTTGAGTCCCCAGTCCCGACTGCCACCATGCCCACGATGTCCTCCTATACACGAAAGGCTATGTAATTTCCATCATATCCCACAGCATCTATCTGTTACGCCTCTGTTACACTACTTCTCGACACACGTACACGGGCGCACACAACGACATTCCGGTTTCTCTCCTGATTCCTTCCGTGGTCCCGCTCCCGTGAATGCAATCTCCTGATAGAAGCACGTATGAACGTCGATTCTCGTCACAAAAATCCCGATTCCGATAAATCCCTCTCTTATAAATCTATATATATTTAGAGGTCAGTGTTATAGCATCGCAAAACCGCAGTTCCGTACCAGCTCATTGCACTAGTTGTCTTAGTGCAGCCGTCACCCCAAAAACATTCCTCAACTCCAGCCTGCTCCTATAAAACCTCTTTCCCTCAATAGACCAGCCAGCCCGTCTGCCATCACAGACCTATACTCACCACACTCAGCAACTGGTGTTAGCTTGTTTGTTCACACCGTTCGCATTTGGGACAAATACGGCTCGTTACGGTTTGATTACGCATAAAATAACGCATAAAATATAGAACGTGGAACAAACGAAAATTCACGAGAAAATTAGCAAGTTCTTTTGTTGAAAAATCTCGAGATATTTATTTCGTCAAAAATTAATTGCAATTTTCGCATCAAATGTTCTACGTTTCTCGTTTCGCAAATAAATCGCGCAGATCTTAAGTGAACTTTAACAAGATGTGTCGTGTCCAGATCAACTTGTTCGTTTAGTGCTTCTGCTTAATTAATCACAATCATTGCGCCGGCCGTGAACCGCTTTCTCGAGGGAAATCCAAATTGAGACGACAGAGATAAAGCAATCTGCTGTAAACGGATGTGACAACTTCGCGCTAAAAGCGGGCACAATTATGCGTCGCACTATCAAGCCGCAGAAACTTGCATAACGAATCTTGAGTTAATTATTCGATGTACGTTGAAGCATCGCGCGGTCGAATGATCTCATTATCATCATTAAACGAACCGCGCGTTTTGATATGTCGAGCTGTATTTCTCTCTGAGTGCAAGGAGTTAACGTCCAGCATGCACCCTGCATTATCCGAACAATTGAATGCATATATTATAATATACATACATATATATCTATATATATATATATGGAGGGATAAAAACTATAGTGGTGTAAGTCAAATTTTTAAAAATATTTTCTCGTGTGTATAGATACAATTTATATATTGTACAGATTGCATCTATGCACACAAGAAAATATTTTTAAAAATTTGACTTACACCACTGTGGTTTTTACCCCGCCATATAATCTAATGTTGTACCACTTCAGTGTAATAATCTTGATGTTTTAGACAGTATTAATGATCGTTTTTGCGTAAACTTTAAAAGGGGAAATTGAAGGATATACTGCCTAAATAAATATGTGTATATTATTGAGATCGCTGGTCTCATACGTAGCTCAGGGATTCTGGTTGAGGACATTCTCGGTGGGCCGAAATGAACAACGTAGATCCGGGATAACTCAGTGCTTCTTTTCGATTCAGCTGTCATTCACAATTAGCGCAAGTGTGGCTGTGATCTTTCGTAAGAAGGAGCTACACGACAATAACACGCTGCTGATCGCATCATCATTCCGAGCACCTTATCCAAATACGTGATGAATACGTGTGCCCTACGATCGATGAACGATATATACGCGTATATCCGCGCGCACACGATAGTAATAACCCAGAAGAGCTTTGTCATGATGATAAATGCTTCGCGGAAATTACCGTTGTCATTTTTAGCCGTCTTTCACGGCGTGTATCATTCGTGCTGCGCGCCGTTTCTCATCGACCCATTGATACTGATCATCAGATACTAACTAATGAATCAACTTCACTTGCCTAATGGCATTGCAAGCGGGCTTAATAAATTAAATAATTCCGAGTACATAGAGGCATGCTCCGATACCGGAACGAACGTGAATAATCTTACGTCATACAATAAAAGATACGGGAATCCGGGCTCTCATTGTATGAACGTCGCGTACGAGCATCCAATTTTTCTCGCGCGGACAGTTGGAGGATACGACGAGCACGTCCAATTTTCGGCAGATCCGCGTTACTCACGCCTGGTTTCCGATCCGGCAACGGTCATCACACGAAAACGACTTGCAACAGCTCATACCCATGACACACGCTCACATCTCGACACGCACACGACGTCGGCCCCCTTTACGTTTAGAGTAAAAGTAACCAGTAATCCTGGATATTATCTGGCTCGCATTGAATCCCAGTAGCGCCTGTCGCGCGGCCCATGTGTGAAAGAGACACACCCGCGTTGGTGCAAGTGATAAAGGAAATCGCGCGACACGGGAAGGCTACTGAGTTCATGATGGAGCCGAAAATCAGACATCACCGAGTAGATAACATTAAGCATGGAATGATCATGGTCGAACTCCGCTATCTGTCCTTTGTGAGTCCGTTAATTATTGGGCATCACTTACAATTAGTCTTATCTGTCATGTGACACTTAGGAATAGGAATACGTTTCTCACTATTAATATATGTACACACAGCACGTAGAAATTACACACGTAGAAGAGAGTTTTGTTCTTGACATACACATGGCGACGACTAACACGTGAATGAGCTTGTATACTCGTACGTATTTGATATCTAACACTTATCAGCATTGACCTGTGTATGTACATTGTATATCTAGTGCTACTAACTTGTCACATAGGTATGTGTATAGTCAATTTGGTTAAAATAAATCACTCCAATTCCTAGCGCAATCTTGGTAAGTTCAGCCCATGATGATTTACTGATTTATTATTTATTATCAAATAGATATGCGCGTTACTCTTTCGAACAGAACGCGCATTACTCTAGTGCCGAATAATTGTTATCTTTTTTATTATTTTATGACTATATAAGTTTCTTGAAATGAGTTCTTTATCGATTTCACGATGGATCATAAATATTATATTTTTTAAAGAATACCAATTTATGTTTTATTTTTTTTATTTTCAAGCTATATCGAATTGATAAATATAATTAATCTTAAATAGATTAACTTTTAACAAAGAGCAGGTCTAATC